AGAGAGAGAGAGAGAGAGAGAGCAAAAGGCAAGGGGTAGAGAGGGGGGGCGGGGAGGAGGGTGAATTTAGAAAGTTTCCAAATAAATGAATAAATGTTGTTATTACTGCTTTTATTGTTGCTGCTATTGCTAATCCAACAGCTCTTGAGCTTCTGCCATTTGGCCAAATGTTGTGTTGTAGAAAATACATAGACCCACCTCAATGATAGTTATAATAGAGGCCTACCTCAATAACAATATTATTTTCAGCTACCGTACTTAAAAGTCAATGAATGGACCCGAGAATTGTTGTTTCTATTCGTCTTGCGTTCCTTCAACGTTAATAAAGCAGGCAATCAAGAAAGCAAGTTTAATAAGAGGTGCGCGTGCGCGCGTGTGAGTGTGTATGTGTGTGTGTGTATGTTTGTGGGGGGGGGGGAATCTCATAATGTCTAGCATAACTTGGCAGAGGAAAATTAGTACACTATTGCGGGTAGGCATACAGACATGCATGATTGGGTAGGCTATCCTGTCTTTTGGTCCTGTCGTCTGTGCTGGTTTGTGCCGCTTCATTCACTCCTTAGAAATTTCTCTTCCCAGACCCAGGTCACCATTCGCTTATTGACACCACCCCGGTAACCCCTCTCCCTACGTACATACACACAAACACGCGCACATGCGCCCTCGCGCACACACTCATACCCGCGAATAGGCTATTATCAACGGAATTTGATTATATGAACACTTTGGGGATCAATAAACAATCTTCCAGTGAAGGCTCACTGAACTTCAAAATGATTTTTTTTAGGACTCCAAGTTAATGCCAATCTATTTATGTTAACCCCCTGATATACAGCGTTGCTGTCGTTTAGGTACATGTGGCTGTTGCTATTCACATTATAACTAGTCTGTTAATATTAATAGTGTGGTGCCTTGAAAGTTTGAAAGTGTCGGAGGAATAAAGGGGGCGGGGGGAGGGCGGGGGGAATTAAAAGTGTGCTGTTCTGAAAGGAAGCTCATCTGTGTGTGGGATTATATTACTATATCAGCTACTGTATTCGATGCTGAAGTCAATGCATGCCTTTGTCTATACCTCGGCAGGAATGGTTTGCAGGTGCATGTACACCTATATCTACATTACATGAAAAGGCTGTCTCCAGGACTACTGTCATTATTTATACTTTTTATCTTTCTCTGTGAGTAGAACTGGAGACAAAAAGAACCGGTTCTTAATGCCTGCCGTGGCTCCTGCGCGCGTGTGACTTTGTGGCCAAATTAGTGTTTTCTGGCTTCAGTCGTTTACGTAAATTCGATAAAACAGCAAAACGGGCGCACGGACACAAGTTTACTCTCTCCCTGTTCCATCAGTTTGATAGTGTTTGAGCACGTGCAATCCGCAGCTTGCACTGTAAGCTTCCAATGAAGCCAAGAATATTTCTGATTCTTCTAGGGTCTGCTGGGGTAATAATACAGTTGTACAGCGCATAGAGCATGCTGTAGAGCGTAGAAACGAGCTATAAAAACACAGTTATTATTCAAGTTGTTTGTGGAGTATTGGCATGTCGATTCTAGGTTTTAGAGTAGACAGCTGTCTTCTTACATCACATTTGTCCGTCCGTGGTCACTTCCAGGTCGTGTGATTGCCTCATCCCTGATCGTAACCTACTTCTATAACTGCCAGTTGGTCTAGCGCTGTCGCAATGTGTAATTACACGACTCATTGTGGATTATATCAGACACACAACGACAAACAGCTGCGATATCATTTATCGGCCTCCATACTATAAAAGGCTGCTATTCAACGGGAACAGAATAATACAGATAGGCTGAAAGTGAAACAGACCTTTAAGCCTACGAATTAGGTACCCACGAGAGCATAAATGCGACACTATGATAGACGGTGATAGACGGTACGCTGCAAGTAAGGAATGGTGCTTGGGGGGGGGCGTGTCTGAACTTGAGCCATTCTCCCTCGAGGAGAATCACCAGGAGACAAAGAAGAAAGGGGGCTCCAATAATCCATCTGCTAGCTAATTATCTCAAACGATAATCACATCTACCGCGATTTACGGGTTCAACCAACGCTCACCTCATTCCCCCCTCCCCCCCACACACAGACAGACAGACACACTCTATCCTATTCTTCCCCAGACTCCTGCTACTATAGATGGAGCATCGCTATAGGCCTACATCATCCCAACCTCACCAAACCCCTTCTAACAGTAACCCATCACCTTAGTGAAGAAACATTAGAGAAAAAAAAGAAACGAACGAGTCCGGAAATTTTGACAAAGACAGCGTGATCACTTTTTCTTGTCTTGAAATGTTTGTTTAAAATCATACAACATGGATTACCGACACCATCTCTTCTCCCTGTCAGACTGTAACGGTGTGGAAAAAAGACCAATACCCCCCCAACCCCTCCCCCCAAAAAAAACAACAACAAACAAAAAAACAACACAAAAACAACAACAAACAAAAACAAAAAAACAAAACAAAACAAAACAAAAAAAAAAAAAAAAAAACGAAAATTAACAAACCCCCAAAAACAACCCCCCCCCCCCCCCCCCCAAACAAAACCAACCAACTAACAACCCAATCCAACAACGATGATGAAAAACAAAAAACAAATCAATAGTTAAAATCCACCTGTCAACCAAAACTAGGCCTAGATCTACTACAGCAAATGCAATTGATATTTTCTCAAAAGAGCGTCTTATTGAGACAAAGGTAAGCTGTGATGCAGTGTAAAGACCTTGTTGCCTGCAGCCATTGGACTTTCCACACACACCCGATAAACGTTGCTGTTAATGCGATAGAAGTTCTATTGTGATCGACGTCATCACAGCTATAACTGATTAGCCTAATGTGGTAATGCCATCGGATTAGCATTAGTTCTAGCAGCCTAACTAACGGTGATTTGGGCTGAGCGCCACATGAGCTTTGTTTTAGTCATATAGTCAGTGACTCCGCCTAACTGAATCTTTAATTATTGTCAGGCAATCGGAAAAAGGCTTAAATTTCCTTTTAAAGGTCGTGGATAAGGAGGAGAAATGAAATTCAAAGTTTTGTGGTTTCTTTTTAAAACGAGGTTAAACATCAGTTTGGTAAAACAAATAGTAATTTGATATAAGACTCAAATCCTCTACGAAAAACACGTGCAAGTGTTTCCTGACGACCATCGGCATGTGTCACAAAAACGACGTCGGGGTTGAAGATCATTGTAATTTAATGTTGGCCTTCTTCTTCTTCTTCATCAGGTCTGAAGCAGACATTGGCGATCATTGTAGTCTACCCCCATTCCGTCCTGTTGTCTGTCTTATTCATCAGCTCTGTTTTTCTCTTGGGTTATTAGTTGCAAAGTTGCAGACCATTGTATTTGTTATTAGGCTAGCCAAAAGTTCGTGGTGAGAATCAAGACCACACGGCGAAAAGTAGTGTTTGAGCTGTAAATGAACGTCGTGCGCACGCGTGGGTGAATGTAGTTGCCACATGTAGGCATATACTTGTTTGTGTGTGAGTGTGTGTGTGCGTGCGTGTGTGTGTGTGTGTGTGTGTGTGTGTGTGTGTGTGTGTGTGTGTGTGAGAGAGAGAGAGAGAGAGAGAGAGAGAGAGAGAGAGAGAGAGAGAGAGAGAGAGAGAGTTTCTTTTTTTACATTAGTGCACATCTATGGGAAAGAAGACAGACATACAAACTAAAGAGAGGGAGAGGGGTTGGAAGAGAAGAGAAAGATAGGATCTAAAGGGATTTCAAAAGAGAGAGAGGGGGAGAGAAAGAGTGAGAGAGGGAGAGAAAGAGTGAGAGAGAGAGAGAGAGAGAGAGAGAGAGAGAGAGAGAGAGAGAGAGAGAGAGAGAGAGAGAGAGAGAGAGAGCTTAGAAGGAGAGAGAGAGAAAGAGGGAGAGAATCAACTGTCATTTCAGCTGATAAATGATTACCCCTTATTTAAAATCAGAAACTATCTTAACTTGCTCGTAAAAGCGCAACAATAAGAAAGCCAGCTGTTTTGGGTGTGCGTCAAGTGAAAATGAATGAACTCAATACATCACTGTATGTCACATGATTAGGAAGTCTTAAAAACCATGTGACCACGGGTAACCAATGGACGTTCTTGTTTTGCGTAGAGCCGATCAAGTACATCGATAACCCTGTATCAACCTTTCAGGGGTTCCGTACTGTTGTAGACATGCCCAATAGACCTAAAAAGGAGAAGGTAGGTACATTTTTAATTGTTAGAAACGTTATTTTAACTGTACTGATACATCTGAATGTAGTATCATGTGAAATCATGTTATTATTGTGGCTGGGACAAAACAGAGGCTCAAATTTCATGGCACAAACCCATGCCCACTCAGTTGTTATGCACACTGCAGCTCCGTAACCAAACATAACACTACCGTTTACTCTTTTCCCTGTGTTCTAATTTCAGACAGCAACGAAGACGACTGGCAGTGCAAAAGCTACTGGCAAAGAAACCTCAGACAATGGGGACAATGAGGTAAGATTCAAATAAATGTTTTAAGCGCGTTTTTCACCCTGAAGGCGGCCATTATTACCGAGGGAACGCAATCCAACATGGCGGAAACATACGTTGAGAACCCCGTCCCTCCTTCCTCGTCCCTCCTTCCTCGTTTAGACGAGCTGTTTTTTCTTACATTGATGCTCTTATTTAATGTTTATGCATATGTTTGTAATGAAGGGAGATTCAACGTGAATTTTCAATGTCTAAAAGATCAAATTCCCTCTTTCTGTTCCCTTCAGGTATCTTGTCTTGTAGATTGTAGCAAGTTTGTAGTATCTGCACTCAACTGTTCTTTTTATAAGTGGATGTGTAGATTCTCTATGATAGTAGAGTGAGGGTAGCAGTGCAGCTGAGTGAAGTGTCAGTCAATTGAGAAGTGCTTGACAAGTGATAGGAGGTAACGGCTGCAGTGAACTTGGCGCTTTTTCGGTAGTTCCCACCCTATTTTCCCGTTTCGGCACGGGGAATATTTATTATAATGGAGTTAGAACTGTCTTTACAGTATTTTTTTACTAATAATACACCCGTCTCATGTACACGTTTGATATACTTTATTTCTAGTAGTATTTTGCATGCTGAACACGAATATATACAGGTAGTGTCAATTGCCACCGAGTCACGCGGTGGCAATTGACAAAAATTGACTTTTTGTCAATTTGCCACCGAGTAAATTGGAGCTCTTTTGCGTTGGTGGGTAGATAGAATCTAGCTTAATGACTATTGTGCTCGAGCGCTCGGTGTTGTGCGTTCGCCGTTCGCCTCTCTGTCCCTCTGTGTGTGTGTATGTGTTTTCCTGACCCCCGTCCCCCGATTTATGTTCCCCGATATAACGTGAATTTCTGCTTGAGTTTGTGACCTTCTACTTCTAGTTCTAGAATTGCCTGTGTTGGTTCTCCACCAAAGTGTAGGCTAAGGCTAGCCTAGATCTAGGCCTACGTCTCTTTGAAAACACGCCAAGTTGGTGCCGTAGCTCTAGACTAGATGCTCGTCCAAAGAATTAGTTGAGAGCAAATTGACCCATTAGACACACATTAAGTATAATGCTAAAGATAGTGTTGTTTTCCGACTTGACACCGCGTCACTCGGTGGCAATTGACGCTACCATATATATATGGCCTTCATTTTTGCCGCAAATCAATAGTTACTGAGTTATTGATGTTTGAAAACAGAACTACGACCAGTGGCGTAGTAATATTTGACATTTTTAACAGCATGGGGGCTGGGGGGTTTCAGGGGGGCATGCCCCCCTGAATTTCAATGATTTGATGTTTTGGCAATTAGGATTGATATTAACATGAAAACAATTGATTTGCAAGGGTTTCAGTTGCCACACGTGTGTTCTGCAGCAAAAATTATGGCAGTTTAGCCTTCATTATATCAGTGTATCTGTGTGTGGGGGTAAAAGTAAAAATTTACCGTCTTTACTGATAATATCGGCCTCTATCTAGATTGAATATTTGAAAAGATTTCAACTTATGAATCTCCTTTAGTAGTACTAGATCTAGAATCTAGATCTAGATTTCTAGATCTATACATTACATGAATGAAAATTACTTGAATTAAACGCTTCTGACTTTGTAACAATAACTGGCTAGCCTCCAGTGTCGTCGCCGACATAAAATAGGCCAAAATAAGGGGGGTTGGAACTACCGAAAAAGGGCCGTGAACTCTCCAGTAAGACTGAAGTGGAACCAAGGGCTCGATTTAGGCCCAGACCCTGATTCTATCTGAATCTACACGGACACTAGAAGGAAGTGGCTATCCTCACCCAGGGTGAAAATAATAAATATGATCGACCTCTCACCGCGGGTGAGACTTGCCAGCGTTGGCTATTCTCTCCCGTTGTGAAACAAAACCTGTTTTTTGCCTAATTTCGGAATACTGTCTATCGATGTGGATGATCAAATTGACAAAAGCAAAGAAAAAATGACATTCACAAAAGTAAACTAATTTTGTTGTCTGCAAAGATGCTAGGGCTATTTACCTTTTCGAATCGAGCCGAACTACGCGGGTAGCCATTTTGTTTTGCCTGGAAGTTCTCGCGCTACTCCTCTCTCTCTCTCTCTTTCTTTCTCTTTTTCTCTCGCTCTCTTTCTTGCTGCCCAAACAGACAAAATTGCACGCTCTCAATACAAGAGTGCTGGAACGTTTGTTCACGTTGAACGCTACACTGGTTGGCCAAGGTTATCACGGTGAACGCACACCGGGTGAGAATAGCCAAAAGGCTCGCCTGCGCTCTTCTCACCTGGGGTGAAAATAGAGGTGGCCACACTAGAATCTATCTTGTACTACATTTTAAAATTTTTGCTATTTATTCCAGTGATCTTAGTAGGAGAGCTGTCGACATAAGTTCATATCTTGTTGAATGTAAACGTAGTTGCCTATTTTGTGGATAAATATGGAAATCCAGATTTTTTAAAATTGTGTGGTTTCTGCCCGACTTTCAAGCTGATCATTTTGATTGCAAAATGGTGTTGATAAAAGATGTCGTGAGTAGTATTACAGTAATTACACGATATCTGTAAATTCTGAGTCCCTGCATAAGCATTTTCTGTTTCAGAGGGTCCGAAAGGTTTCGGAATTTTGTTTGTAGCCAGTTTTCACCTCTATGTTGGCATAGTTCTTATTAAGAATAAAACCCACTGGAACTGGGCATAGCTGTGTCAATTAGCTAGATTGGAAGGTGATACCGTCTAGCGCCCAAAGCGAACATGCCTGCACATAATGAGCAGATTTTGAGGTCTTGAATTTTTTTCTCTATACATTTTTGTATTCAAAATATGCACATAATGTGTAAGCAATTTTTATCTTGATACCCAAAAAATTAGTGTCAGCGAGGGTAGATTTAATTTTAAAAGACAACCACAAATTTCATATCAAAGTAGCCGCAATATGAGAGAGAAAAGATGCCATTTACCTCTCTATAAGCCGAGGGCAACGCAATAGTGTAGGTGTAGGCAAAGGACTTGTTCATTGCTTACATCACAGAAGTGTTCAGTGGTAGATCTTGTGTTACACACACTCCAGGTTGCATGTGGGTAGTCTGGTAAAATTAATGAAGACAGGGTTTATCGGATATTGTCGTCTTGTGTATCAGCACTCTTCCCTCTTCAACAGACCCCCCCTGGGGCGGTGCCAATGACAAGTGTCTTTAGGCCATTCCCAAAGGGGGAACATTTCTCGTTCATGCACAGTAGAATTGTAAATGGGCTGATATCACGCTCATAACTGTGCCTGAACTGCAACAGGGAACTGCTGCTTTTTCTTTCCTAATCCTATTGTCTTTTGTATGTTTGTCACACTCTTGTGACCCACTATTTCCGAGGTGCCTTAATAGTCAAAGCAGACTTTGTGCTGTTGAAGCCAGAGAGGTGAGCAGAGTAAGTCTGATTCCCTGTGAGGACTTCTCTGTTGACATCTACCCCTTGGCGCTCTTATGACCTTATGCAGTTGCGAGCGCCGTAAAATCTTTTCTACTAAAACTAAAAACTAAGACATTTTACACACTACATCACATCTTGGTGGAAGAGAGTAGACCATGGCAGAGCAATGTCAAAAGAAGTGGACAGGCTTTTCAGTTATAGAAAAACAACTGATCCTGGCAGATATGAATAAAAGTTCAATGTCAAAACCCCAGATCTGCGCAGCTATGAACCCAGTTGTTCAAGTTTGTCTTCTTTCCTTGATACAGCTAGAAATTTGTACGTGTACATGATGAAAAGATTTCCGCTTTGTGCTGATTTCATGATGTGCATGATGCTAGTCTGTACACTGAAAAGAAGCCTCCTTGACGAGTGCTGTAGGGTTTTGAGGAAACGGAAATGAAAAATCAGTACTTTGAATCGTGGCCATGTGCAAATGTCTTTTTCTTATTTTAAGTCCGTGTGCAACATTTGCTATTTATTGAATATGTAATGATATGCATTCAATGTGATATGATGATGGTTTCATATCATCACCATCCAAAATGCTTCTGATTTCGAATATTGGGACAGGAAGCTAATTGCGTCTGCCTTCTTTTAATTTTAATTTTCAACCAATCTATGTTCGGAGATTCGAGGGTTTGGCCCCTGAGCCACTCAGCGTATTACCGCTGAAAATCAAATCTTAGTGAATACTTCTCGGAAGCATGTTTTTTTACTTCAACAATTTTTAAAAATAATGTGCTTTAGTTTCTTGACAGGCTGAGGAAAATGAGACAAAAGTTCCTTTTTCTCTGTAAATGTAAAAAGCACATGGCTATGCCATGCTTGCAATAGCTGTAAACAGCACAAACATTGTGAAATCAAGGGTGCACAGCTCTTGTGCTTTGGTTATTCCACAGTAAGTCAAGTAGTTTGTGGGAAGACTGGCGTATGCACAAAAAACTGAGTGGGGGAAAGAATGAGTTTTCGGTCAATGGAGGTAAATGCAATTCAGTAACTGTAACAAGGTTACTAGCACTGTACTACACTGGTCTGTACAGGGAAGTGTAGACTACACACAAAACATTACAGTAAAAGAGTAAATTTTTCTCACGAGCCACTTGTGTCCATATCATAAAATTCCTTTGTCTTGGCTGCTAAAATATCTTTACTTCAGTCAGTCGGTTATAATAGTACCTATCTTGGGATGAGCATGAAGTTGGCGGCAGTACAACGGAAGAGCACTGATTGTCATCTTGACTAGTGGTAGACTGGTAGAGACTATTATAGAGGGAAACTGGCCAGTCTTGACTCATGTAGATCTGTCTTAGGCGATTGCCCTGTCCAGGGTAAAAACAAGTAAGTAGTCAATTACACGTACAGTTGCAGCTGACAATATGTAATTTCAAATTGAAAATTTCTACCAGATCAGAAATTGAAACCGGGCAGGTTTGATATGTGAAAAGAACCCTGTAGACATACAGTTTATTGTACCCAATGTTAGTGAGTCTTCAGGCTGTCTCAAGCCTTTCACGTAAACTAGAGTGTGAGTCCTTTCAATTTAAATTAAAGGCCTTACGGGCGTCCGCCTGCCTTTCAGTTATCAGGGTAGGCAGGGCCAGATGTTTTGCCTATAGGCCAAAGTAGTGCTGTCACTTTGAAGTTTCTATGGGCGACTGAATATTAGTCCAAATTTTATTATTGAAATTTTGGCCAAAGCATAAGAATAAATAGCATTTTCATGATTGGTGCAAATTAAAAGCACATTGGTGAAAAAAACCACTACATATAGGCCAAACTTGTACAAACGAATGAAGGATAGAAGTAAGCGGCCATCGAGTGTGTACTGTGTATAGTGGGCACTGTACCTCTGGTGGTCAATTCACTCACAGTATAGGAGGGGCAAATTTGCCTTTGTTTAATAATAACCGTTCAGCTTGAACAGTTGGCGGATGGGGGTGTAAAAGCTCAAATATACTATGTTATACCTTTCTTTTCGTACTTTGGTTAAACCTGGCAGTCAGTGGGGCTTGCAGTATGATGGGGGGGGGGGGGTGTCAACGAAGTTTGACTATTTAAAAAAATATTTTTATGTAAAAGTTGAAAGGTGTATTTAAAAAATCTTATCTCTTCAGCTCCTGGTTGATCATATCTTCCTGCCTTTATAAATTGTCTCGCATTCTTGCATCTTGGGCACTGGTGCTCACACTCTACATTGTTTAGTATACAAAACATTGTGAAACTTGTCCATATGCGAATCTGAGATGTGAACCACAATTTGTTTTCAAATTTAAAGCCTGTGGAGATCATGGAAATTAGGCCTGAATTATATATATATATATATATATATATATATATATATATATATAGAGAGAGAGAGAGAGAGAGAGAGAGAGAAGTGTTGACGAATGAATAGATCTTCTATTGTTGTCTATGAATGAAAAAAATTCGGTAGATCAGCCTTGAAGGTGACATGGAAGGTGCTAGTGAACATCGACTTGAGCTCTTGCTTTTTCTCATCTTGGATGGGATCATAGTCAGAAGTCATGTTTGTCTTTAGGCTTCTTTGGTGCCTTGGATTGTGACCTGTTGCTCTTTAATTCCTTTGAAGTACTGTGAAGTGTTGAATAGTTTATCATTAAAGGCTTTTAAAACTCCCTTGATTAGGGGTAATGAATAAATCCTAAGCATACCAAGAGATGCAATCATTTCCCTCTTAGAATGAAATGTCCATGAACATTTTTATGCTCACACAGCATTAAACGTTACATTTACTTTGATGTAGTTGTCACGGCATTTTTTCCTCTCTTTTTTTGTCTTCTTTACTCTAAGAAACTAAGCCAAATGCTCTGTATTTTTAACACTTTGCCGCCACATCTGGCCGATCGGCGATGTGTATCATCCAGTTTCTTTTGATATTCCCCAAAATTCCTTTGCCTTTGATTGCAAGGGTTTTTACTATATGAGCCTTGTGATGGCAAAGTGTTAAATGACATGATATTTGTGTCATGTTGGAACAAAAAGAAAATCAGAGTTAAAAGTGTGGGTGGTTGGCAGGTGCTCTGGTGTGGTTTGCTTCTTATTTCCTATCAAACGTCTATCGTCCTTATCTCCCCTCTTTTTTATGTTTGTTACTCTCTTGTAACACCTTTAGTCTTCTGGTGCTCATATGACCTTATGTAGTTGCGAGCGCCGTAAAACCTCTACTAACACTAAAGAGTTAAAAGTGCTTGTATCTTGTGTAGAGTTTCTTTATTATCTAATGATATTCTATGATTAGCACTGAATTGCAGCTGCGATGCATTAATTTTAAAATGTAGACATCTCTTTCTCCTGACTCCCTACTATAGAAGCTGTGACATTAAGCTATTTATTGTTCTATTCAAGTGTGAAGTGAAATTTGCATGGTACGGATAGGAAGCAATAAAGAATGTTGACTCTAAAAACCTCATGCTCTTCTGTTGTCAACAGGCCTTTTAACATAATGGGTCAAATTATGTGTTGTCTATGTGGAGTATTCTATACTAATTGGTTCAAGCATCAGTGCATCAGATGAACAGCAAAAATCAGCTTACCATAGTTTTATTAAACAAATCACCTTCACTTTTCTATGGACACATAGTTAGGTTTACACAAAATGTAGGCCTTTTTTCTTCTGTGATCGATGCCTCCTTGGAGCTTCAGTGTCCATGAATCCTTCAGTTCCTGCTCGGTTTTATTTAACGTTCCTTTGGGAAATCTTTTTCAGTATTTTGTTTAATTGTAAAGACTTCAAGTACGCTGTACTGTTACATGCTCTGCCTAATTTTTGTCCTATTGAGTAGGTGGGAGGCTATAATTTTCTTTTCTGCGCAGTTCTTTCTGTCAATGTATGTGGTTTCCTTTTTTTAAACTGACAACATAATCTGATTTCTGTAAATGTGATAACAATTGACCTTCCGGTTTGTTTTGCTTCAGGCAAAGAAAAAGGCCCAACAGCCAAATACTGCAGAAACTCATCCACCACCTACAGCAATATCAAAAATGAAGTACCCAGGACCCCCTCACATAAAGAGGGACAAGAGACAGAACTCATCACGTTTCAATGTCTCTAAGAACAGGGAGCTTCAAAAACTGCCATTGCTCAAAGGTGGGTCTTCTTGTTGTAACTTTATTATTGTTTGTTGCTTTCCATTGCTTTATTGATATTTATACTTTGCTGTAATACAGTGAATGAGTGTAATGTTCTTTTGGTATTAGTTCTGTGCTTTTGGCTTTTGACAGTGGAGCATGAATTTATAATTTTCAAATGTATTTTAGACATCTTGTGTCTCTTTTAATTATGAGAGTTTTTTGTTGTTGTTTTTTTTTGGTGAAAGAGCGTATTGGTATGCAGTCAGCAGAAGAGAATTGAGAACGGGTAGAAATAAAGTAAACAAAATAAGCTACTCTTTCACTCCTTTCGAATTTTTTTTTTGGGGGAATAGCTCAAATAATTTACAGCATCCATTTTTGTTGTATCTTGTTGTAGTTTACATTAAAAAGATGTGAAGTAGGGAAGGCAAACTCTTTTATTCTTGTCTTTAGAGTGCTTCAATTGGTCTTTCAATTTTTTGAATCTATGAATCAGAGGCCAGTTACTTGTTACCCTCTGTAGAGCATTTCGTGGTTTGGGCTTCTATTTAATCAGTGAGGATGCTGAGTTGGTGTGATCAATGATATAACAGTGTGGAATATTGAGTTTTTAAAATGTTTTTATTGCTTTTCAGATGCCACGCCTGCAGAGAGAGAGGAACTATTCATTCAGAAGATCCGACAGTGTTGTGTGCTCTTTGACTTTGTGCAAGATCCTCTCAGTGATTTGAAGTGGAAGGAAGTGAAGAGGGCGGCCCTCAATGAGATGGTGGAGTATGTTACCCAGAACAGAGGAGTTATTACTGAAGCCATTTACCCAGAAGTCATCCACATGGTAAGTGAATTTTCAATTTCAAATACAGTTGAGCCTGTCCATAACGTTCTCTCAAGATCACAGAGATAGAGGTCACTTGTTGGACTTGACAAAAGTCAGCAGATGGTTTAAAATCTGAAAACCTGATTTTATTTATCCATTTCAATTTCATAAAATTTTTCATTGATCATAAGAGCCTCTTTGCATTTTTGACCGTATACACTCAGTCTAAGAAAGGGTTGGCAGAAGACTTTCATAAAGTAACTGCTATGAGTAGGTTTTGAGGCTGATTTGTCACAAAAGTGAATGATCTTGGCTGTGTTGTACAGGGAAAACTTTAAACAGGTTGAAAATATAAAAAGGCAAGTGTGTCGTGGAACAGTGGCCGCCAGTATAGGTGACCACTAAGGCAGGTTTGACTGTATTTTAAAAGCAGGCTTTTAAAATCTTTTTGTATGGTTCAGTGGTGACTCAGATTGATTTTATGCTGTAAAATTCAGTCCACACAGAACCACATCCTGAATTCTTGGTTCTGTTACTCCTTTAAATGTTTTGAGCTTGTGTCCCTGTCTGTGTGAGAAAATCTTTGTCTTTAGCGTTGCATCTGCGTTGAGTGGACAGAACAATTATGCAGCATGAGAGCATGGATTGAAAGTTATAACTAGGTCTTGAAACTGAAAAAAAGTTTTCACAATGTATGTTACTTCAGTGCATTGGGACCTCGACTGAAATAGTACACTTAATAAAGTGAAATAATGAAACCTGAATATCTAATGCCTGCAGCGGAGTGGAAAAAGATGCTATGATACATGTTTGTGAAGATGAGAAGGAGTGAGGGTGGGTGGTTGGCGGGTGCTCTTGTGTGGTTTGCTCCGTCTTTCCTATAAAACATCTATTATCCATATCTCTCCTCCTTTTTTGTGTATCTTATTCTCTTGAAACACATCTATTCTCCGGCACTTATATGACATTGTGTTGCAAGTGCCCTAAAACTTTCTAAAACTAAAACTGAAGGAGTGAGGGTTGATTTGGAAAAAACTTTTATTGATTCTTTGATAAAGTGTGTGTTCAGGGACTTGCTGATGCCGAATTAACAAGAGTGGTAGCTATTTATTAATTTTTTTAATTGAAAAGAAAAGCACTCATAAAATAAAGTGAATCATTGGGGGTCAGTGAGCTGATCTTTCTGAAAGAAGAAGTACTATTTGCGAATTGCTATATTATTTTGTACAGATCTCTCACTTTCACTCATGCTTCACTTATAATTTTTAGATTGTAAGTGAATATCATTGAATATGTTGGCAAAATGCAAGAAGGGAAAGAAAAGATGGATTATACAATGTATTAATTTTTTTAAAATATTGAGAATAAGTTCTTTTTTTTTTATAATTAAGAATATATATTCAGTATTCTTTTGCTGTTTTTTGTTTGTTTTTGTTTTGGTTGTTTTGTTGGCTTCAGATTTCTCCAAGTAAAGATATCTGCCTAGTCTTTTGTTATGTCTAAACGTTTCTGTATGGAAAAAAAAGGGGGGGGGGGGTTCTTTGCCGTCATAGCACCTCTTACGTCTCTCACTTTTCTTCCCAACCCGTACCCCCTTATCACCCTCTGTCCCCTCAATTTCTATCTCGTCTCAGCCAGCTTTGCTTTTCATATTCCCTCGTAAGGTCTGTTGACATCTGAGTGGTCCCCAAATAGGATTAGTGAGCTGATAAGAAAGGCAAGGAATGTCATGGGCTGTCGTGTTGTGTTCTCTTGATGAATTTCTGGCTTAAGTCAAGTTGAACTCCCCAGTAATTTTCTTTTGTTGGAAAGAGAGCATTCATTACTTCTGATGGACTCGCAGAGCGTACTAATAGCTTTCTGGTTGGTTTGAGGGTGCCAATAATAAGGTTTACTTTTTTTTACATATGATGTACTGTCTTTTTGAGATCATAGTTTCTGTCCTTCAGGGGAGGTGGAGGGAGGGGGGTGGGGGTGCGTGTTGTGCGAAGTTTGTGTGTCCCCACTTTTGTTTACCGACCGATTTCGAGTGTATGTGGTTCTTTTTGTCTCAAACTAACAAACTAAAATGTTAAATGTCATGAACAAAGCCTGCCAATGATTATGAGTAGCCTTTTACTCTGTACTGTCGTGTATTCTGTTGCCAATTTTGACAGCACTGTACAGGGCAGCTTGCTATCGGTTCATCCACTCTACCCTTTTATGTCGTAGCAAGGAAAGCAAAGAAGACCTGTCACAAAAGTATTGCTGTCAGGCTCTAAGAACTAGGAGTGTTGTCAACTTTTATAACAAATGATCCTTTCTGTAGTGACGCTGAGTGTCTGCCTAATGTATTGGGCAATAAACCAGGAAGAAATTAGAGGGCGTAATAAAACTTTCATAATATAACTGTAACGTTTGCTGTTTGCGTGTGTCAAGATTGTTAGTCCCGGGAACTGGAAGAAAGTTAATGTGAACGTCTTTTATAAATTATGTATACACATAAAGATGGCCTTGATATCTATGTGTTCTGTGTGCTTGTAACTAATTATGGGGAAAAATTGCGCGACTCGTGCTGGCAGTTCTATTTACTTTTATTTTGTGAATGAGCCACTGCTACGGTTCTTTTGTTCTTGTGACAGTACGTTGTGTGGATACGCCAGAGACTTGCTGCATAATGTATACAGTTGTTGGTCGTAGTTTTTGTTTGATAACGCCACTGCGTTTATCAGGGATGTGATGACCTGCTTTCCTTCCAGTACACTTTCATTGATTTAACAGTTTATCAGAAGTGACCCTTTTACTGTGTAGCTCATGGGATGGGTAGATAAAATTCGCCAGCCGATTATTGATTCCGAACTTTCCGAAGAAAAAAACAAAAAACAAGTCTTTTTAGCGGATAGTTAATATCTAAAATAGCGAGAAAGAAATGAATGGATTTTTGTTGTTGTACCTAAGTCTAGGCCTTCTCACTAAGTGCAACGCTTTTGATACATCTCCAAAGTGACTTTGCCAGGAAGCAACAGTTGTGAATCTTTTTGACCCAGAGTGGACAGAGTGCTACTTGGTGGGGAATCTGGCTTCCGTGGTGGATTAATTAGTATGAAATAAAGGAGTCTCTCAGCTGAGACTAGGGGGGGAAACCACGGCTGATGGAATACGGGGATTGAGTGAGGGGGGTGGGGGGGTGAAATTAAACGGAGGCAGGAAACTACGACAGGCACACGTTCATCATGGTACCCACCTAGTGGCTTGGACCATCACTAGACTAGATCGAAACAGATGTCGTGGTTTGAAATGTTAGACTACTTTGTTTGGAGGGTGACTAAGTTTTAACATCGTGATTTGTTCTTGTCGAAACATGCTTCCATTTTGAGACTGTCAAGACTGGACATTCACTTCGAGTAATACATTAATAAATGCAAATGCGTGTATTTCGTCGGTGTATCCAATTAACGACAGAGTTTACCTTTGTTCCAACCTTTATTAATTTGGAACGATTTTCGTTTGCGTGGTGTCTTGTTACCGTGTGGGAAAGTGAAGAGAAGAGGGGCGCTGTAGGAAACGACGTGGAATAAAAAAAAAAATCACAGGGACACATAATTTGTTGAAGAAATTGTAGGAGTTCTCTGCTCCGAATTTGTCCTTCCTTCTGCATTCACTGCCTCTACCGCAGTCTTTTGTGGGTGGGTTGCGGGTGCTCTGGTGTGGTTTGCCCCGTTTCTATCAAACATGATTGTAATCGTCCTTTTATCTCTCCTCCTTCTTTTTGTGTTTGTTACTCTCACTAACACCTCTAATGCTAATATTCGTATTTATATGACTGTATTGTGTTGCAAGTACTGTAAAATACTTACTAAAACATAAACAAACAACAGACCTTTGATGTTTAGAGGCAGAATATAATACTGCATGAAAAGTATCGTCAAGTTGGATTTGTGTGATTATTGAGCTGGCAATACGGCAATTCAACTAAGATTATATTTTCGCCATTTGCTTTGACGTCAGCAGTGGTACTGGAAGTGATTTTAAAAAAAAAGAAACGAATAGAGAAGACCTGAGAGTTGGGGCTCGCCATGATATGGAATCTTTGTATCATATTACACACTTCTAATTTTGGTCTCAAACATTAGTTTTTCCCTACCAATTTTATTGTTTCGTGAGATACTTCGATTCATCATGTATATTACATTACATACGTGTATGTATAGACATTTATATCCTACTGCTACGAGTGCAAGCTGCTATTGTTGGTACTGTTCATATTGATATTATTTTGTATTTAGTCACGTTTTTCTATCCGTCTGTGATTCTGTCATTTTCTCTCTGTCTGTCGGTCTCTCCCCCCC